CTTTTCTCCACCTCCCTCCCCCTCTTCCCAGGGACGCACCTGTACACAACAGGTCTGCTTTGAAATGCCGTTGGTAGCATGCACACCCACTGCCGCATGAGAGGGAGGAAAAAGGATGGCAGTATAAGAGAATGCGTTTCAATCAATTCAAGAGTACGGAAGGGTGTCGGAGTAGGCTTTTGAGCCAACTGAGGAGCATGGCAGCTTCTGAGAGGATCTCGGAACAAGACCGAAGGAAAACGAGGGAACAAAAAACGTGGCCCGAAATTAGAGCACGAGTCAAGCGAAAGGAAAACGAGGGAGGAGGAAATACCAGCCTTCCCCTTTCCCCCTACCAGCCTTATCCATTTTCCCCCTACCAGCTTTCTCCCTTCCCCTCCTACCAGCCTTTCCCCTTCCCTTCCCTACCAGCTCCGCCTATCCATCCTTCATTCTTACCTTACCGCCTTCCCCCCACACGCCCAGCCGTTGTTCCCGTGGGCAGGGGTACATGGGAGCGATGACTTTCGTCAGCATGTCAGGCACGGACAGCACGGCCGGCTGCAGTAGATTCTGTAACGACGCCTCGCGACGCGCCTTATTCGCCGCGTACGCCTCTTCCGCGCGGCATAGCTCCAAATCGAGCGCGTTTTGCGCTTTGCTATAGTAGGGATGATTTAACGCCGCGGCGGAAATTCGGCCGGGGGAGTCTTCGGGGGCTTGTCGCTGAAGCTGCAGCTCCGCGTCGCACGATCGCGACGAGTTGTACTGCACGCCCAGGAATACTACGACCAGCAACGCGCCTGCGACGATGTACGGATTCGCACGTCGTTTCTGCGACTCCTGACGACGCGGCGACGATTCGATAGGGAGCGAGGCAGCCATCGCGACTATCGCTGCTTGAACGAATACTTAGCAGGTTGAGAGAAACTAACTGGGCATTCCTATCAACCGCTGGTTTCGGTAGTGGAGTGAGAAGTTTAGTACCATCCGAAACTCAAGCACTCTGGTCTTGTGCCAGATAAAAAGGAAGTGGGCGAGAGGGGGAGGTGGGGGGAAGTTTTAATACGGTGCTTTACATTTTCGGAGTGTTTTATATTGTTTTAGTACGGTGCCTTGACAGCAGAAGTGGCATGAGGTGTGCTGGAACAGGACAAGAGCAACATCACATGAGCGAGTCGCTCGTCAAAGGTGTAAAGAGAGAACGAATGCCACTCAATCGGGAGGTACGCACAGTAATACTGGGTGCGGCACTGTGGGATGATGAGCCATGACCGACATTCGTTAGAAGAGGAATACTGTGCTTGTAGAGAATGCTTTTGTAACGGCATTTTCGCCACTCGTCTGTAACATCTTTGCCAGGTCCTTCCAATCCGATACAATAGAGCATATAGAGGCTGCTTTTATTGGATATGCAAGGAAGTACAACTATTCCGTGCCTAGGTTCTCAGAACCAGTGGTAGTTTGCCCCAGAGTCGCATCTCATACCATCGCTTCCTAAACTTCCCCTACCTTCATATTTCTGCAGCCTACCTGCCACTTCGACGACAGCTGTACGGTGTGAGAAGCTTTACGTGATGCCATCAAGCTCGAGCTGTTGAACTAGCCAATCCTAGTGGAAATCCGACTAGCAGTTCGATCCCTCCAGCAGTAGAGGAGGATTATCATGAAGCGGCCAACGGAAGCCTCCAGCCGCTCCCACGACACCCTCTCCTCTGACTCCTCTAACGAGCATACTGCTTTAACGATAAGCAACACTTACCGCCAAGACAGCAGCTCCAAACACCCAGAAACTTACCCTAATCACCACAACAATGTCAGCGATGGCGAAAGCCACAGGTTCAGCATGACAAATATCAGCTCGTCTTCACTACCTGACTCCACTTCAAATGCAGACGCCGGTCATTCCGATCGCCATTTAGTGAAATTGGTCGATCTCCCTGCTGTGAACCCTAGCGCGGGTAAATTCCCCTACTGCCTGGTGTGGACGCCGCTGCCTGTTATCGCGTGGCTCGTGCCGTTCATCGGCCATTTGGGGATCTGCCGGGAGGACGGCACCATTCTGGACTTCGCCGGATCGTATTTCGTCTGCGTGGATAACTTCGCGTTTGGAGCTGCGTCGCGATACCTTCAGCTAGACCCAGCAAAGGTACGTTTGATCACCCCCGCTCCTGACTGTGTTCAGGTTGAAAGCACTTCCTATACTCACGCTGGCAATTTCGCGTTTGGAACTGCTTCGCGATACCTCCAGCAGGACCCAGCTAAGGTACGTGAAATCTTCCGCTTGCCTGGCCGGGCTGAGAGTCCGCACCTCCTTTATCGGCACTCAATGCCGATTTTGGTCTCGGTCTCTTTTGCGAAACTGTTGTTGAGTGTACTTCCTATAATCCCCTCCTATTCCCCTCATTCCTCCCCCACCTCCGGCCTTGTCCAGGAAGTGGACCTTTGTTACCCCCAGTTGCTTTTACTTCCTCTGTGTTTCATATAGGCCTTCCATAACCCTCTCTCAACCTGCACTCACCTCTCCTATTTCATCCAAGCTTGCCATTTCCCCTGATACATCACTTGCAGAGTCCCCTAATTTCTCCAGCAAAATAAATCACCTCATTCCTATCCAAGCTGATTTGCGCTCACGTCTGCATTCCGTTCTCCCCTGCCAGGCATGCCTGCCATCCAACTTGTCAGAGCACATCTGCAGCACTCCGTTTTTCCATGCGGACTACGGCACATCTCAAGGTTGGGACCAGGCTTTAGCAGCAACGGTACGCACGTATCAGCATGCCTTCTACAACATTTTCACTTCCAATTGCCATTCGTTTGTGGCTTGCTGCCTCAATCGGATGGCCTACAAGAGCAGAGCAAATTGGAATGTCGTGGAGCTTGCGGCGCTGATGTTTTTGCATGCCAAATGGGTCAGTAATAGAGCAATCATAGCGGCATTTGCACCTTTTGTAGTAGTAATGGTGCTTGGGATCTACTCGGCAGGAATCACGTTCGTTTTCTTCTGGTTGGGGTTCTCAGCTCTTTTGGTAGGATGGTTTGTTTTAGGGACGTATGGATTCAAGGGCTTGGTGCGAAGCATGTAATATAAAATATGTTCAGTTGACTGCCTCGGCGGCTTATCAGGGTCCCCTTTTAGGGACACTCTCTACACGCACCTACAGGTTCCTGAACGACACGTGAGCTAGCGCTGACTCATTCACTGCGCTGAGATCGGTGCATTCCACGCGTCACCCGTTTATTAATTATTTCCAGATCGTGCGCGTCACTCTGGCGCTGGTAGTCCCCGTCAGCTAGCGGCTCGTCGATTCCAAATACAGAGCCATCCAGATTCCCAGGCACCCGATAAACTGCTCAGGTTTCAAATCTCGTATGAAGCATTAAATTTCCAAATCTCTGCTGTCGTTGCGCCTTTCGCTCAGCCTAGAAAACTTAGTATTATCTTGCTTCAGATTCCCGGGTTGTTGCCAGTCTGATCCTCTAGTCCGGCACTAGTATCAGCTCCTTAATTCTGCGTTTCTCTGCATCGTCTGTCTTCGCGATGGCACAGGCAGTCGCCACTCCTCTCCCACGTTGTGCGTCCGTCTCCGTTTCTCCCGCAGTGACAGGCACAAGCAAGAGAGCGTTGCAGCTAGTTTCTCCGGCTTCCACCTCGTTAAGCCTGTCGCAGGCCTCAGTCGGGCGACGCGTTTTGACCAGTGAGAGGCAGTCGCGTAGCCCTTCCCTCAGTCGCACGTCTCGGCGCGCCGTTGTTCGTTCCCAGGCGACCACCGAAGGTGAGCATTGCCTCACAAGGATGCACAGGTTGAGTGCTTCATGGACTCACAATTCCGGTGAACGCAAACCTAAGGGGGTGATCATGGGGATCTATGGTTGTCAGAAGTTAATGAGAATCGGACTCCATATGATTCGTCATTGTCGGATGAATGTGACCTACTACCAGTACAAGACGACATGTATTGAACGCATGCACGCTAAGATCCAAACGCCTGTCACGTTCATTGCCATCTTTTCGTACAAGGCATGGCGCACTTAGCATGCCTTCCTCATTTTTCAAGCATATCTCACTCTAAAGACTACTCGTCTGTCTGTCAAATTGATGAGACGATCCTCTCATTCCTTTTCTGTGTAAAGAAGGCCAAGGCTCTAGACGCTGCCATATCCACCCTATACTAACGTGCTTTCCCGTTCCCATCTTTCCAACCCGATTTCCATCAGAAGCACCGATATCATTCCAAATCGGCGAGACGAGTCTCTCCATCCCTTTCTCTGTAGAGAAGGCCAGAGCTCTAGACGCTTCCATCTCCAACCTGCTGCAAACCTTCCGGGAGAAGGAGAAGGCCACCCGGCCACAGAGATGGACTACGATGGAGTATCGCCATTCTGGGGATGTCAGTAACGGGGATGTTTTTATCGAGGTGTTTTGCAACCCTAACGCGTACGCAAATGCGTTTCAGGCGAAGGCCCTGATTACGGTGAAGGATGACAGGATCAGGTTCACTTCAGAAGGTGCTTTGAGTGCGCTAAAGGCGAACATAGACGAGTATTTGATGCGACATGCTTGAGGATTTGCTGAGAATGTGCTGGTAAGGCCATGTTTCAAACGTATGCTTAGCTGCATACCCTACCCAACCATTCTGAATTTCCATTATGTCCGCAACCAAATGTTCCCTTAGGGACGTATTGTTAGCATCAAGGCGAATATAGTCATTATGGATCTCGAAACAGTGTGGAGACAACTGTACAAGTTGCATCTATTTGCGATTAGCACCACAGTAGCCTGCTTATAGCGAAACGCGAATTTCGTTCTGGCGCAGGGCGCTTTGCTTTCTCTGTCGTGCGAAAGGCCGCAGAACATGTCGCGCTAATCGTGAGGGTGTCGCTCTCGACCACTTTAGACCCACGCTAAATCCTTTTAATGCCTACTGAAGTGCGCAAAAGCAAGCGGGAGGGACCCTCGGGGCAACCGACCTCACTCCCTCTGCTATTTATTGGAGGACAACGTAGCAGAGCAGCTAGGCAGAACACTCGCACGATACTAACATGAGGGACGTCGCTTCACATGGTTGTGGCGATGCTCCAGTTCTTTAGGCAACGGAGCTCTAACAGGATGCGATGCGATTTGCTCGTTAGAACTTCCATACATCCTTTTCCGCAGAACTCTAGGGCTCGCACTCGTAGCACCTAATTCTACTCACCCTTGTCAATAGCTTCAAATCCACTTGTTATCATGTCTCGCATGTACATCAATAGGTTGTCTGACGACCTCCTCATCAAAATATTGTGGCACTCAAAACAGCCCAAGCAGCCCATATCTTTCCAAGCCGTAAGCAAGCCGTCATGGCTTTCCATGTTGCCGCGGCCAAGGTACACCTCGGAGAACCCGTATGGCGACGACGTCAACGACGACTCGTCAGAGAGTCAGAAGCTGGAGATACTTCAGCTCGGTTCAGAGTCAGCTCCTCCCAACACTATCCATAGCCCTGTGTCAGCTCGTTCCAACCCTAAGAGCCATAGTCCGTTGTCAGCTCCTCCTGCTCTCACCGACCCGGCGTACAACCTCCTGATAGCCTCCATCTGCTCGCGCTGGCGTCGCCTGGCTCAGCATCAGATCTCCATGCTCCTCGTGAAGGAAAACCGCGTCGTTTCGCTCCAAGATCTCATCGCTGCCGTCAAATGCTTCCCGAACCTCTCCCATCTGCATCTGAGCGACAACAGCGTGGAAACGATCGACGACGCATTCCTCGCCGTCCTCGCTTCGTCATGCCCTAAACTGGTGTCTCTTCACGTGGGAAAGGGGGTCACATCGAATCAGGATTTCGAGAGGGAGGAGGAGCATCCGGTGACCGAAGCCGGTCTGGACAATTTCTTCCGTCACTGCACGCAGCTGCAGCACCTGTCCCTTTACTGCCTGCATCGCTACGGCAAGCTGCCTGCTTCCCTTTCTCAGCTCACCCATCTTCGAACTCTGGCTCTCACCGACGTTTCAGCTCTAGTCGCTTCGGGATTCACGAGCCTCACTTCGCTCGCTGCCCTCTGCGTTGACATCTCGGATCAGGATGAGCTGGATCTCGCGAACCTCGCGCACCTCCCGGCCTTCGCCAGCCTCTCCTTGTGCGAAGCCTCCTGGCTCATTCTAGAAGGCGTCGACTCCCACCCCTTCGCATTCGGCCAGCTGGCTTCGCTCGAATCGTTGGAGTTCGACAGGTACACGCCACGATTCGATCTACTGTTTCCGTCAGGATCCCCGTGCAGCCGTCTCGAGCGGCTGGTTCTCAAAGGCTGCGACGGACTCGTGCTTCCCGAGGACATCGGAGAGCGCCTGCCTTGCCTTCGTGATTTGAGCATCTGCGGATGTGAAAATTTCTCCGAGCTGCCTGAGCAGTTCAGTTCCCTAATCTGTCTACAGAAGCTGTCGATTTTCTTAAGCGACATGGTCAGCCTGCCTGAAACTTTTGGAAAGCTGCCCGCGTTGACAGCATTGACGCTGCACCACCTGCAAATTTCGCATCTTCCAGATTCCTTCTACCAGCTGACGTCCCTGGAAACTCTGAAACTGTCCCACTGCAACGCAATCTTCGAATTTCCTCCAAGATTCGGCCAACTCTCAGCACTCAGGTTCCTCCTCATCATGAACTCGCCATACCTGGCACTGCCAGACGACATTGGAGGGCTGACCAACCTCCACACTTTCAAACTTCATGAGAATTTTCCGCAGCAGCTGCTTCCATCCTCTTTCACCAGTTTGTCCTCCCTGACAAAACTTGAGCTCGTCCACTGCATGGTAGCTGAGCTTCCAGAGGACATTCGGAAGCTGAGTAGCCTGCAGGAGTTGAGTATCGAATCCTGCTCCAAGATCCAGAAGCTTCCTGAGACTGTCGCTGACCTTCCAAGCCTTGAGATTCTGAGAGTTTCGGAGTGCAGCAGCCTCTCTTTATTTCCCAGCTTGAGCAGCCTTGCAGGGTTGAGAGAGTTGGCACTTGGCAAGTTCCTGCAGCTACCAGACGTTTCAAATTCGCTGCCACACTCCCTCGAGGTGCTGAGCGTGGGGGGCTTTCAACGCCTCACCCCTCTCTTAGAAATTCCTGCTCTGCCTAGGCTCAGGAGATTGAGCCTCACGAGTGTTGGTCTCATCCGTGGGGTGGTTGCTGGCATGACTCTGTCGTCCCTGGAGCACTTGGAGCTGTTGCTGGCAGGTGAAGCAGAGGAGCTTCCATTCCCCCTGAAATTCCTTCCTAACCTCCGCACCTTGACAATCCAAAATGCTGGACGCATGAATAAGCTTCCAGCTGACATTGGCTCGGCCTTGCAGCGGCTGAGGCAGCTCCAGATACAGCAGGCTTTAGAACTGACAGAGTTACCTGAGACTGTTAGTGGGTTACAGTGCCTGACATCCATGGAAATCCATGCACCCAAACTCGCCACACTTCCAGACAGCCTCGGTGGCTTATCCAGATTGCGCAAGCTGAACCTGTCTGATTGTGCATCTCTCACGCAGCTCCCTGCTTCTCTCACCCAGCTCTCCTGCCTCCATGAGCTGAACCTTCGCAACACACCCATGCGCTCCCTGCCTTGCAACTTTGCTCAGCTGAGCCGACTCAAGGACCTTGACTTGCATGGCTGCAAGCAGCTGCAAGGACTGCCTGAGGGTTTTTCCCAGCTCAAGATGCTTCATCAGTTTACTGTTACGGGGTGTGGTGAACTGCCAGCTGATGGTATTGAAGATATGTATGGGCTGCATATTGTGAACTACTTGGATGCCTCGGAGACACTAGTATAAATAAAGTCCCTTACAACCATTCTTGTTGGGTTTTCCTGCTGGCAACATGTGGATAGCCTGGCAGATGCTCTCGAGTCTCTGCCAAAGATATGGCGGGCTCTGCAGGGGTTCGGGCATGGTGTGGCTCTCTGACTTCCATCACGTGTTTCGGGTTGGACATTCGGATGAGGCAGTTGCAGCAGTAGCAAACGACAAGGGCTTGAAGGTCTTGGTTGTGGAGGACAACATTGAACCAACGGGTGGCAATGACACTTCTGCGCAAGTGGGGGCACAAGGCTGTTCTGGCCAAAGATGGCGAAGAAGCTGTGAAGAAGGTTCAGGATGAGGACTTTGATGTTTGACTGATGGATGTGAGTCGACCATCTGCCTCCTTTTCAACCTTGTCTCACATGCGCTTGTCTCCAGCATTCCCTGTCAACATATATATGTGTATGTGTGTGTGTGTGTGTGTGTGTGTGTGTGTGTGTGTGTGTGTGTGTGTGTGTGTGTGTGTGTGTGTGTGTGTGTGTGTGTGTGTGTGTGTGTGTGTAGGCTACGTAGGTGTTCTACTGGTTCTTACTGTAGAGAGGACCCCACCTTTCTTGTGCCTCTCTCACTTTTCTAGTCTCCCTCTTTTTTCTCTCGCTACTTTCTTGCCTACCTAGCTAAACCCTCTTCTAACATGGTTTCAGAGCAGGTCCTTCCGCTCGGGCCTTCTCCTCACGCTTCCGCATAGCACTCTCCCTCTCCTCCCACTGTCCCACCGCCGCGGCCCGCGGCGGCCTCGTTGTGCTGCAGAATGGCGGCCTCGATGCGCTGACGTGGCTGCCTTGTCGTGCTGCCGTGGCGGCCTCGTCGAGTTGCCGCAGCTGTCGCAAGGACTAGGTAGCTAGGAACGGTAGGAAGCCATGAAATGGCGAGAGGTTTTAGGCTAGGAAAGTTGATGAGAGAAAAGGGCTCGAGAATAGAAGAGAGAGGGATACAAGGAGGGGGGTTGTACCCTCTACAGTAGGTTTCAGTAACACCTACCAAGCCTACCAATTATATAACAAAATATATAATTTAACACACCCCCTAGGCTTGGTAGTAACAAGCCCACACACAACCACACCTCCTAACCTAGTCCTCCCATTCCCAGCAGCAGCCGCGATGACTCCGGAATTGGGCAACACCCACGGCTCGGGAGATGGCAATGGCGGCAGCGGCGGCGGTGACGAGAGCGACGGCGGCAGCGGCGTGCGGCGGCAACAGGCCAGCGGCAACAGCGGCCGCGGCGACGGCTTCAACGTCAGAGGCGACTGCAGCGGCCCCCGCCCTCTCGGCGGCATGGCCAAGCTCATCGGCTGTGGGGAAGACCTTCACGAGGCAGTCGTTGTCTGTGGCAAGGAAAAGGGGACGCAGGGAAAGGAGGGGGGGGGGGCGGGGCGTGGTCCAGAATCACGCCCGTGGCTGGCAAGCGGGCGGCAGGTCTAACGGTGCTGCAGGCGTTGCGCGGCCGGTTGCAGCCCGATGACGCCGTCACAGAGCGGCGTCGATGCCGTGGCGGGACGTCGACGCTGCGACGGCAGCACGACAGCGCCGTCATGCCTCCACAGCTGGACGTCGACGCCACGACGGCGCGACGCCACTGCAGCGCGTCGAGACGGCCGCGGCACGACGACGCCGCCACAGCAGCACGACGCAGCCGCCATGGCAGCTCGAGAGGGAGGGAAGGAGTGCATGGCGGAAGCGTGGGGAGCAGGCCCGGGAAGGGGAACCTGCTCTGATACCATGTCGCAAGGACTAGGTAGCTAGGAACGGTAGGAAGCCATGAAATGGCGAGAGGTTTTAGGCTAGGAAAGTTGATGAGAGAAAAGGGCTCGAGAATAGAAGAGAGCGGGATACAAAGAGGGGGGTTGTACCCTCTACAGTAAGTTTCAGTAACATATACCAAGCCTACCAATTATATAACAAAATATATAATTTAACAGCGGCGGCCCCGTCGCGCTGCCGTGGCGGCCTCGACGTGCTGCCGTGGCGGCCTCAATGTGCTGCCGTGGCGGCCTCAACGCGCTGCCGTGGTGGCCTCGTCACGCTGCCGTGACGACCTTGTCGTGCTGCCGTGGCGGCCTCGACGCACCAGCGCACGGACGGCCGTGGCCAGCGCGCTGGTTTAGCGCTAGCCAACACGCCCGCACGCCAGCCAGCGCGCCAGCCAGGGGGGCTTGCTAACTGGCTCCAACGCCGAAGTCCCGCCCTCATCCCCTGCGCCTCCCCCCCCCCCCCCCCCCCTCTCGCCCCCCCTCCCCGCCACAGCTGATGGCCGTCTCGCACCCTCATTCCCCGTCGTCGCAGAGCCGTGCAATGCCGCCGGGTGCCGCGGGCTCCGCCGCCGCCGCCGCAGGTGCCGCTGGCTATGCCGCCAACTGCCGTCGCCGCCGCCGCTGTCGTCGCCGCTGCCGACGTCGCCGCCTCGCACAACGAGGGTTGAACCGGCTGCAGTATGCCACCGCTGCTGCTGGGTATGGGGGTGTTAGGGCTTGGGGGTGCTGGGCTTAGAGGTGTTGGGTGTGGGTGTGCTCTGACTTTGTCTGACTACTCAAACCAATGGACAGACTAGTAGTGTTGCTTTGGTCTCTTGCTTCTCTGAGTAGCGCCTACCAAGCCTAGGGGGTGTGAAAACAAATATACTTATATATATGTGTGTGTAGGCTAGGTAGGTGCTATTGGTTCTTACTGTAGAGAGGACAACACCTTTCTTGTACCTCTCTCTCTCTTTTCTAGCCTCCCCCTTTTTTCTCTCGCTACTTTCTTGTCTACCTAGCGAAACCCTCTTCTAACATTCCCTTCTCCCTCCCTCTTCCTAGCAACTCCCTCACTTACCTAATGCCCCTTCCCTATTTCTTTGTTGTGCACATTCAGATCCAAACGCCAGTTTGTGATGGACTACAGGCAACGATTCGAGATTATGAGTCTACAAAGAGTCACCACTGTCCTATCATTGCTGTAATGGTTGCATGAATTTTACTAATGCCGACATGTCAGCCTTGACCAATCTTGTTAGATTGTCGAGAGAATGGTGGGAATAACGAAAAATGTCGAGGGTTACAAAGGTAGGACAGTACCCTCTAAGAACTGACCAAACTAAGGCTACCATATAACAAATATAAACTAGCTAGCCTAGATAATTATATTTATTGACACACCCCCTAGCCGAGATAGTGCCAGTTCATAACAAAGAAAAGTACACCACGGCCGCACTACTAGTCTGACCTCTGGTGAGTGTAATAAAAAGACTCAGGGCAGCACTACTAGTCTGACCATTGAGACAAAAGGTCACAAGGCACTCAGCAAGTGTAGCAAGACAAGCAGGTGTAGAACAACAAGTACAAGCAGGTATACTATGACTTATGATACAAGGAGTGGTGCTGCTACGGAGACTAGACCTAGCTGAGTACAGAACCGCTGATGGTCACAAGGCGCAAGTACCTTGGTGAAGATATCAGCGGTGTTGGCCTCTGAGGCCAACTGTACCACACAAACCTGACCGCGCTGCTGCAACGCACGCAGCAGGAAGTACTGCAGCTGGATGTGCTTCGCCCTGCCCTCAAGTCGAGCCTCCTGACACAAGAGGATCATGGCCCCATTGTCAGCAAACAGGACGGGGCAGACCTAGGCTACTCACCTAAGTCAATGAGCAAGAACGACAGCCAGCGGAGCTCCTGAACGGCCATGGCCCAAGCGTAGATCTCTGCCTTGCAACTGGATTGAGCTACAGACGACGACCTGGTGGACCTCCACGAGATTGCACCAGTACCAAGACTAAAGCAGTAGCCCTGAGATGACCTGAGCGTCTCCAAGTCGTCTGCCCACAACGCATCTGTATGTCCAGTGACCGCCATTGGCTCCCGTCCTCCTAGCACAAGCCCGTCCTGATGTGCTCGCCAGATACTGTAGTTGCCTCTTGGCAGCCGACCAGTGGACTGGTTGGTGCCTGCCAGTTGCGACAAAGCGAGCTAGGAGATTGAGAGGGTAAGTAGATCTGGTCGAGTGCAGCTCATCAGGTACATGAGGCACCCCACCAGATCTGCGTATGGACCACTAGCCTCGACCGACTCAACCGGAACAGGAGCAGAGAGCTTCTGATCCACAGGAAAGGGGTGCGCTGTGCTGAGAAGAACTGGAGACAAAACCTCTGGAGGATCTGCTGCACCATATGGGACTGAGAGAGTGTGATCATGTGAGCGACGTGGTCACGAGAGATCTCCAAGCCCAGATAGCGCCTCAGCTCCCCCAAGTCTGTACAGGTGTGTCTCCTAAGCAACTCGGCCTTCACTGAGGCCAGTGCGACTCTGTCAGGAGTAGCAAAGATAAGATCGTCTACATACACTAGGATGTAGAGCGGTGTCTGTCCCGTGCGAACAAAGAGAGAGGGGTCAGTAGAGGACGGAAAGAACTGCAGCTCAGCAAGAGTTGTGCGAAGCGTGTCGTGCCACTCACGGGGTGCCAGACGAAGGTCGTACTGTAAACAGGATGGTGCAAGCTCCACTCAGTCCCAAGTGGGAAGGACCCAGAGAAGCCAAGAGGGCGCCGAAGGTAGATTTGCTCATGCAGACTACCCTGCAGGAACGCTGTAGAGAAGTCGAGTGAGTGAAGCTCGTAGTCACCCTGCGCGGCTATATGGAGGAGCACCCGAAGAGTATTCACCTTCGCGTTCGGGGAGAAGGTCTGGAAGAAGTCCACACCCTCATGCTGACTGAAGCCTCTAACCACCTAACGCGCCTTGAACTTTGGCGGCTCTCCAGTTGCGCGCTTCATCCTATAGATCCACATGTCATTGACTACGTTCACCCCAGGCGGGGGAACTGCGTCGACGTAAGTGCCTGTGGATCTGTAGGATGCCATCTCAGCCTCCATGGCCTGTATCCACTAGGCTTCCCAAGGCCCAGACACCGCCTCAGCGTAAGAGCGCGGAACAGTGATGTCGAGAGCGTTTGGGTTGCTCTCTTGGGATACAAGCATGGAGTCGATATGGGGAACAACATCAGCAAGGTAGGCCAACTCGTTCTGCCTGTCCTCTAGCACGTCACTGCCAAGGGCAGGTGCACCGTCGGAGCGAGAAGGGGGGGACGACGGGAGCGACGACTGGGGAGGCAACGGGAGGACTGTGATAGGAGGAGCACGCAAACAAAGGACCATAAGGTGGTCACTAGGACAGGGAGAGATAGGGCGAGCACAAGAGGGGTGACGGACCCAGTGGGGAAGAACTGGGGACGAGGAGGAACAGGGGACAAGTCAGGGGACGGAGGGGAGCACGGGGGAAAACGAACCGGAGAGGAGTCCGGAGGAGGAAACAACGAGCCGTAAACAGGGTCGCGCACCGGATGGGGAACGGGCGGGCGGACAGGGGAACCTGGATCAAGACCAAGGAGATGAAAGGCAAACTACGGCTGCTCCTGCTGCGGCGGCTGCGTATGCTGCTGCTGCTGCGGCTGCAACTGCTCCCTGTCCTCTCCAGGACCTCCAGCGGCACGCCGCAAAAGAGCAGCCCAAGGACTAGCACCCTCGGAGTCAGCACCCCCAGAACTCGCACCCCAAGAACCAGCACCCCCAGAGTAAGCACCCTCAGAACTCGCACCCCCAGAAGCAGCACTCCTAACACCAACTCCACCAACACTAGCACCCCCAACACCAATACTGCCAACACCAGCAACCCCAGAACCCACTGCTCCCTGGTGCTACTGCTGAGGCAAGGGAGGAGGTGGCTGAGGTGCCTGGGGTACCAAGGCTGGGGGAGGCGCCATAGGGATAGCAGGCGCGCCCCCAGCAGCTGGGCCCCCTGAGTGAGCCGACTCCCCGACAGGCGCAACCGAGGGGAACTGAGTGGCGTGGGAGACACCAGACTGGCCTGGGCGGGGCGGGAGGGGTGCGGCAGGCGGGGCAAGGACAAGGAAGAGAGGAGGAGGAGGCATAGGAGTGCTGCGGTGTGGGAAGCACCGGTAGTAGGGGAGTGTCTCGTCGAAGGTAACATCACGAGAGTCA